AAAAAAATATATATATATATATATATATATATATATATTAATTATATTATTAATGTAAAATATCTACTGATTTTGTTAATAATTAATTTTTGTTAGTTACTTTTAGTGAGATTTTCTCCAACTATGTTTTTGTACCCACAACCATATGCATGTAGTGCTTTATTTGTCTCTTCATATGTATCTAGTACAATGTACCTGTCCATTTGCTAAAAATTTCGTCATATATTCTTTATGCCTAATTCTTCCTTTACTTGCACTAGTTATTCAGCAAAGATCCACTTCTAAAGGGAGCAAAGAAATGCTATGATCACAAGGCAGACGTCTACAGCTTCGCAATGGCTCTATGGGCGTTAATAAAAAACCAAACTCCATTTAAAGGAAGGAGTCAATTGATTGCAGCATATGCTACTGTATTAGTAAGTCATACATGTTACACTCTTGGTTCTATTTTTTATGAAGAGTATTGTTATTTTCTTCCTTCTTTTTCTCTTTCCATTTTTAATAGTTTGCTTCTCTAAGTTTTATTAATTATTTTCTTCTTCAAGTAAGTTTTGATCTCATCAAGATGAGGTTTTTGCCACATATGCTTATGGAATTGTAACAAATGACTAATTTGCTAATTCTACTTGAGTTTTGGCAACATTTTTTTCCTCATATCGTTTGTGGTACTTTTACTTCTCAATCTAATTTTTATTATAGATATGGTATGGGAAAACATCACATTGGTCATATTGATTAGTTTATACTTATTATGTTCACCAGATTCAATTTTAATGTCATCAATTTGTTCTTCAAAAACAAAATTATTACCCTTTCAAAGATCGACCGTGTAAAAGAAAACAATATAAAATAATTTTTTTTTTTTTTTACATTTATGAAGAAAAAAAGGGAAAAAGTACTAAATGTCAGGCTGTGTCCAAAAATTTAGCATGGTACAACCTACCAGCCTTAATGATTCAGATTTAGATTTTAGTTTCCCCACCAACATATCAATGTCATGTTTGAAAACAAAACTGTTTTCTGCACACTTAAATGCTATATAAAACCTAGAGACATATAAAAGTGAGAATAAAGGTATATATAGATGATATAATGTGATAGGAAGAATAAAATGGTGTTCCAAAAGTAATGTGATGTTTTGGTGTTTCAAAAAATGGGGATGTTCAAAAATCATAACTCTGTTCGACAATTACATAGTTTGGGAGAGTGGAGACCAACACTTATTTTGTGAAAAACATTGGTATATGTTTGTGTTGTTATAAGATCTACTTTCTTGTTGATGCTTACAGAACATGAGGCCTAGTGTGGAAGAGTTTCCAAAAGATCTACTTCCCCTATTGCAGTCATGTTGGGAAGAAGATCCAAATCTCAGACCAGAATTCTCAGAGATCACCCAAACCCTTGCAGAATTTCTCCACAACTGCCTAGGGATAACACCTGAGGAACAAGAGTGTCCAACTACAAGTGTGCAGGAACCTATCCCTTATTGTGCAGAAGACAACTCCAAACATGTGCATGAGGCACAGAGTCAGAATACCAATGTCTCCACAATGGGACAATATCAGAGCATATCACAAACCCCTAGTCCAGTCTTAGTCCAAAGAAAGACAAAAAAAAGTTTTAGGAAGAAGTGCAAGTGTTTATGGTCATGTTTCAGCAAATGCTTTGACATTATTTTACATGCATGCGTGCATCATGCAATTGGTGAGTTGCATACATGATTCTGTCTAGGCTTTAGTAATGTTTCATTCCCGAAATTAATACTCGGGATTTTGGAATCTTTTTGTTTGTTGCTGTGTATAATTAATTAATTAAACCTAGAACTCAATTTTATGATGACCATTTTCGCCGACATTGTCTCAATCTTAATAGGTGTGTAGTCGAGCTTCGTATTGTGTCTGTGGGCTAAGTATGAGCCCGGTATCCTCCTTTTATATATATTTTGTTTTCTACATGTTTCAATTTCTTTATATGTATCCTTATAGGTTCAAAACTGACGTACCTCATTAAATTACTCAATTGTTGACCGATCATGTCATAGAAAAATATTTGTTCAATGTATCTTGTTAGTTATAATAATTCAAGTAAAGCACCGGATAAACCTCATAGGTCCATGGCCAATCTCCTTCCTAAGTTTGTGGCCGATTAACTTGAAGCTATTCATCTTAATAATTATTGTACTGTACCCTCATATATCTATAGCTAACCAACCGTATTTTATAACACATACGTCGACTAATATAGTTATAAGAGGTTATCGACTAAATTGTTGCATCAACTACAATGATTTGATTAAAACAACGGATAAAGGTAAAATCATTATTTTTATAAGATAAGTTACTTGAGACATACAGAACCTGATAATCTTGTATGTAACAGAAAAATATTGGAATCAGAATCATAAGGCAGGCCAAAAGACCAGGGCCACAAAGCCATATTGCTAGGTTAAAAATGAGTTTCCTCAAAGGAGGTAGGTCATTCTAAAAAAAAAAAAAAAAAAAAAGAGAGAGAGAGAGAATTATTGAGCACTCCGACGTTGAAATCTTCTTTCTGGCCAGAACACTATGAATTAAATATATAATGATTCACCGCATACATGAATGATTGATTATTGCTGCCAAATTTGAAAGTGATCACTGAAAAAAAAAATTATGGGCCAATCTCTGTATACTCGATGCAAAGCTAGTGAAATAAATTTGAATTAAATCATTTAAATGAAGGTTATTAAAAATCTATTTAACAGGCGATCCATCATAAGTGGGATTAATTATGTGAATGATTAGCGTTTTATTTTAACAGAATTTGATTGGAATTGAATGGTAGAGGTGTTATGGATGGATTTGGTTGATATATGTGGTAAAACAAATTTTGAATTAATTAATTTTGATTAGTTTAGAATTGGATTTACAATTTTCTTTTCCTACAATTCGAAGCAAATCAAACCAACAATAGAGTGATTTGGTTTATATTAATCAATTTCTTTTTGAAGAAAAAAATGACCAATATCTGTTTTCTTACAAATATATAAAAAAAATACCTGATTTCATTCCAAAATTTAAATATAAGTCTATTATTAAAAGAGTGTAAATAATTATAACAAAATTTATTATTATATTATTTAACGACAATAAATTAATTGTTTCTATTTTATTATCTAATAAAAATATTAATAACTAATATATAATAGTCACTAAAAATATATTTACATCATACCAAAATTTGTTATTAGTGACAATTATTTATTGGGAAAAACTTTAATCTCACATCGACTATAGATAAAATAATTAAAGAGTACGTAAATAGAAAGTAACTCTCATCTTGCAAGTCTCATATCTCTTAGGAGATAAGACAATAAAAAAAATTAAAAAAAAAACTCAAGTCTCACATCGTTTATAAATAAAATAATTAAAGAGTATATAAGTAGAAAACAACATTCACCTTACAAGCCTCACATCTCTTTAAAGATAAGATAAGACGATTAAAAAAATAAAGAAAAAAATTAATTAAAAATAAAGTAATTAAAGACTATTATGAATCACGCTAACAAATAATAAGAAAATATGAAACTAACCTAGTATCCATGAGTGACGGATTAATAATGAAATAAAATTAGGTGTCAAAGAAATAATAAAATGAAAATTTAAAATTATAAAAATTTTATAATTAGTTGTCAAATCTTGAATTTTATCGAATAATCCAAATTGAGGAATACCCTATTGAATAAAAAGTTCAATATGCATTCCTAAAATAATATCGAATGAGGCTCTTTCAGGTTACAACGGAATCTATTTTTATTGTCTTCCTTTAGCCATTTGACTACTTTAAAACATATCATTTTGTTTAAATTTAGGAAAAAAAGAAGAAGAAGAAGAAGAGTTTCTAAAACAAAAATTTAAAAAGTAATTATTTAAAATTAAATAAAAAACTATTTCTTATAAAAATTAAAATAGTATAAAAGCTAGACAAACGCGACAATAAAAATAATGAGATTTTGATCCTCATTTTTAATTAGATAATTTTAATCTCTCAAATAATACAATCACATAAATCATTTTAAAAAAATATTTAACTTTCAATAAATAATATTTTAAAAAAGAATGAGATATTGTATTAATTTTATATTTGAGATCATGACTTTTTCCGTAAATTAAAATTAATAAAAAAATTATTAACAAAACAAATTAACGATGCCCATTTAAAGTATTAAACTATATATATATATATTAAAAATATATATTTTTTAAATGTGCAATGTTTATATAGAATATTATAAATAATGCATCATTAATATTTTTTTTCCAGAATTAATATTTTATATTTAATTTGAGACTAAATATGTTACAAAATAGTGATTGAATAAATTATTATTGAGTGAGAAGTAGAAAAAAAAAATTAATTATTAAATTTAATTAATAATTTTATTTTTTTAAAAATAAAAATAAATAAAAAATGACTAATCATATGAGAGTAAACTTATATGAAAAGATTCCCTAAGGTCTAAATTTGTAATAAACTTATATAAGAAAAATTGTCTGAGGTTTAAATTTGTTTTAACATTGTCCAAAATGTTAAAGTTATCACTAATGTATTATGCTTTGGTATTCGATGAATCATCATAGTTTTATTCTTAAAATCTATCTCAGTGAGTTAAGAGAGATGAATATTTGTAAGTTATCCTTGACCTCAACTCTTAAATAATGTAATACATTTTGCTATATTAGAACAAATCCCTCAATTGAGACAAAGAGAAACTAGTAGTTTAGATCCTCCTTCTAACATTGATATTTCAACATTGAGTTTATTAGTATCATTAGGATCACAACATTTAAAGTAATGCTTGTCTTTAAAAGACATCTAAATGAATAAAGAAAAATGACACATAAATTATCATTAATCTCGACTCTAAGCATGGTGTATCAAAACGATTAGTGTTAATGCATACTTAATGAAAAGTATAGATTTGTTGTGTGGTACAAATTAGAGGATCAAATTCGAATCAAGAAAATAATAAACTTGTTACGAACACAAGATAAAATTGAATGAAGTTAACAAAAATAATCGATTTTGTTTAGCTTTAGGATGTATGATATCCTAAAGTGGTTGTGAGCAAAGCTAGCTCATACACTATCGAGACAAGGCCGCACACTATCTAATAAGGTTCAAAGAATCAACTTAAAAGCTTTTGGGAACGTCGAAGGACAACTAATTGTTGCTAGTAAGGTTTCCATCTTAATCATACTCATACCCAATCTTGTGGATGAAAAATCATGTACTGGTAGTTCGCTCAACCTGACCTTGCATTTGTTGTTGAGTTCTTCTAGTATTTGGCTTTTAGTTGTTGAAGTATTTGTTAGCTTTGTTGTACGGTTGTGACGACTTCTAAAAGATGAGATGGGTTGTTGAAGTATTCAAAACTAGATGAGACTATCTAAGTTTAATTGTAGCATCTAAAAGCATAATAGTTTGAAATTCATGAATGACCAAATAATAAGACAACTAAAGGATAATTAGTTTGAAAAGCTTTTTTCTAAAGTTGGGAATGTTTCATTTGAAGAAGTTTTCATATAAGCAAGGTTTTCTTGTATAATCAAAATGAGGGAAATCTTAAAACAAAAATGTACATTTTCATCAATAATGCACTAATACTAAAATCACCAATATAGAACAATGTTAAAAAGAACAATTTTTGTAATACATAACAAATTAACTTCAATATATTAAACACAAATCTTTAACTTGTACAAAGATGTTTTAGGGATTTTTTTTAATGAGTTTTTAAAAATTCTTTAAACTTGTTATCTAATTTAATTTTTATTTATTATAATTATTTATGAATTTTAACTCCTAAACCCTAACCCTTATATTTTAAACATGAATCTCTACCTTGAGCAAAATGATTTTTATATTTTTTTAAATTTTTTTTATCTAATTCAATTTTTATTTATCATAATTATTTATAATTAAATTTTAATATTTTAAAACTAATTTATTAATAAATAAAATATGATATGACCACTTGTTGACATCCATTTGATGCATTGAAGTTTGGATGAGATTGCCTAGTCGAGGTATAATTGTTGTGATGTTCATGCAATTAAATATATGATATGAATATACATTGAGTTTTGTATGATAGACATCATGTGCATAAATTTTTTTGTTTGTGACAGGTACATTACGAAATATGCTACCAAGGATGGTCTTTGTGGAGAAAAGATAAACATTAGAAGGGAGGTTAAATAGTATATATCAAAAACTCGCACGTTTTCAAGTACATGAAGTAGTATCTGCAATAAAGAGTTGGTAAGAGAAATCAATGAACGCAAAGTTTTTATACTGGTTCACCTCAACCACCAAGACTACTCTAGTTCTCAATCCAACCACATTGAGTTCTACTAGCTTTCAGCAAAGTTACAAGTATTCTTTTACCAAGTCACTTTTGGCTCAAACAAGTGTTCTTTGACTGACCTCTTCAAGCCATTACCCAAGTATTCTTTTACAAACAAGTCTTTCTAGACTTAACACCAAGTATTCTTTTATAGTCAAACCTTTCCAAACTCTACCCTATAGCAATAGTTGTGAAGGTATTACAAGGTTGCAATTGTCTTCTATTTTAGACGTGATTACAAAAAATCATTTAAGTAAAAGAAAATTCTTGAAGAAGATTTTCTAAGAGATGTATATTGTATCTCAAGGTTTTTCTATGTATGCACTTTTACTTTTGTTGAGTTCCATAGATTCTTATATAGTAGCTTTGAAAGAGATGATTGTTGTAGCTTCTTGAGTCTGATTCATAAAATTGTTTCATCTTACTCCTTTGTTTGATCTAGAGAGAGAAGAAATATCCATTGGTGCATTAAATGCTTCAATTAATGTCTTTCACCTAAACGTACTCCTTATTTTTGATAGATCAAGCTACTTATTAGAGTAGAGTAGTAAAACGAGAACAATAGGAAGCAAAGTCAGTGTACAACGAGAATATAGTCCTTTTTTAGTACCTTTTTTTTTTCTTCTAAAATTTGGGATCTTTTTCCTTTGTTCTTATGCTTTTCGTGCTTTTATACACTTTTAACAGAATATGAGTTCCAAGACAACTGCTTTCGATCTATTAAGGTATAAAGCATTCATTTGAAAATTTAAAAGTGTTAGTTACAGTAAATAATGATCGTTAAGAATCATTTGTATGCTTCATTTGATTGGCTTCATATTATAGACATTACTTCGTCTTACAATAGTCTGAAACAATGACTTTTACAAAGCGTTTTCTTACTAAAAGACGTAGTATTTGTTATCATTAAAACTTATAAAGCATGACGGATTTAAGATTGTCTTTTGACTCCCTATATGTTGAAGCTTGAGAATTAATGACCTTGCGGATAGCCGTGTTTAGGAGCCACAGTTCTACCCATTGTGTGCATGGGGTGTAACTTGGCCTACATCATTATCCTAACACACCCTGGTATACATCCAACTAGTGTAAATTGTTGTAGTGGGTTGACCCAACATGTTCTCCTAAATTACTGCTCTATGTGTTCCTTAGAGAAACAATTGAATTGTTTTATTGGCGTCACATGCATATAGTTTAAGAAGTTTGTATCAATTGCATAATCATGAACATGATGGTTGTATATTTTATGGATGTGAATCATTAATATTGCCATGATGTACTATGGAATTATTTAAGTATGTGTGCAATTATTATCTATTGATCTATATATGTAAATATTTATATAATACTTGGTGTGTTTAACTAACTAGCCATAATTTACACTGGTAGTCAGAAGATGTTTTTCACTCCCTTTTTCTTTTTGTTGGTGTTTGGTGTATGTTTGTAGGGGATGTTCTTCATGGGAATGATGAGGTTGTAAACGAGGCTTAAGCCTTATATTAGATTGTGTTCTAATAGGATGTGACATCAGGATAATAGTTAGGATTTCATTTTTATTAAAGACCTTATGTTAGATTTTGTTTTATATTCATTCCTTTGGACTTTTATTTTAGTTATCATTTTGGTTTCATTGTTTATGTGATATCTCTATCTGAGGGAAATTGCAAACTTAATTTTATTTAGTAACATTATTTTGTTCTATATTTATTTATTATAAGTTATGTTAGCATGTAAGATAGAGGGTGTCACAACTTAAAAAAAGATCAATTGGGGTGGGAATGAGTTCTATACCAAGGAAATGTTGTCATGTTCTCAAATTATTTTTAGACAGAATCAAGGGATAATGCCTTAATGAATAAATGAAAAAACAAAAATTGATTACCAGGATAAAGGATATCATCCAGATAGACCAATAAGTAGGCACCGATATCTCTTAATGCATAGATAAGTGGAAGAAATTATGCACAAAAGTTTTGATGATGCCAAAGCGATTTTAAAGTATTGAAAAAGATTCAAGGTTGAGCTAAAGCAAGTTGATGCAAGAACAAGATCTCGAAGGTTACATAGATAAGCCTTGTCAACTTAGCTAAAAATGTAAAAGAATATTTTTTTTTAAATTGCAAGTATGCTTGGCCTTAAAAGTAAGTTTTCAAAAACCTCAGTTTAATCTCTTTAAATTTAAGCAAGTTTTTGGATCTTTTGAAAGTAAGTAAAAATGTTTTCAAAAGACTTAACAAAAGCTTTAAAGAATAGTTCAAATCATTTCTTAAAAGAGATTTGTGAAAGAAATTACTTATGAGAAGTTTTCTACGTAAAATATTTTGAAACAATGCAACAATATGTGCTGGTAATTGATTACCCAGGAGAGGCAACTTCAAAATTTGAATAATAAGATACAACGTTTCAATTATTTTGAAATTTATAACCGTTGTAATCGATTACCAGTGTATCTTTTCAGAAGAACACAAAAATTTACACCTTTTCATGAAAGGATACAATCATGGAATTTTTATCTATAAATATCTGTGATTTTTCTTTTAAAAGGTTACGAACTCAAGTGTGAAAAACCATTACAAAAACTTCTTGGCCATAATCACTTGCAAATTCTTTAAGAGTTCTATAAGGATCTTCATTTTTGTAATTGTAACACCCCAGTTTTCAAAAAGGTTATTGTTATTCTTTAGCATCTACAACCTGTGAACTTCAATGGATTACTTATCTTTTGGAAGACCTGCACGTTCCTTTTGTTCGACCTGCACTTTTATATTGTGATAATCAGTCTACTTTGCAAATTGCCTCTAACCAAGTTTTCCATGAACGAACTAAACATATTGAAATCGATTGTCATATTGTTCGCGACAAGGTGCATGCAGGATTTCTCAAGCTTTTACCTGTTACTTCTTCTCTCCAACTTGCGGATATCTACACAAAAGCCATGACTCCTGCTGTTTTCCATGGATTTTGTTCCAAGCTGGGAATGCTAAATATCCATTCCCAACTTGAGGGGGGCTCTTAACAGAAATTAGTTTCTTGTTATTTTTTCTGTTATATTTTGTTTTGCTGTACTGTTAATATTATGTTATTCTCTTAGCTGGCATTGTATATATAAACACCATTCGCTGTAATAACAAATACAAGCCTCTGCTGATCATTCTTACGAGCTTTTTATGCTCTCTCTATTCCGATTGCATATCTTTGTGATATTTATTTATTAATCTGCACTTTTAATTTTCTCAGCAAGGTTAATGTCCCACTTCTCCACCCTGACAATGAGATTGTAGATTTAACGGAGGCTGATTCACCACCACCCGAAGAACAACTTCTACAATTGCCTTTTCCAACAGATCATATGCCAAGACATCATGTTCCTTGGTTTCACACTATAACAAAATCTGCAGCAACTGGAAGACAACCTTTGGTATGGAATTACATCATTGTTTCTAAATTAACAAAATATTTTATTTCAAAAATTAATATACATAATGATGTAAATAATTGACTTTCATTATTATTTCCAGTATTTTCCGGTCAAATACTTTGATGTTTGGGGCAAAGACAAATACAATTTTTGTGTCTTAATCAACAAAGATGGAGAGATGGTTCAAGCTGACATTAAAAAACCATCAACACAGCGAAACAAAAGGGAGTTTTATGTTGGGAAGGAATAGGCTTATTAAAGGTCAACGATACAACACAGACATACGACTTAAGATTGAAAAAGTTCAAAACTTGAACTTCCTGATCCTCCATGTTAACAAAGCCTGACTTGGCCTTCTCATTTTATGCTTGTTTTATAACTGTTGACTTCATTTAAGTGCTTCTGTATGATGACATTCTTGTTTTTTTATCTGTATCCCAATTAACAATCATGACAATTTCATGCGACTTATAAAATCTACTTAACTTATTGCGTAATTTAAATCAACTTGATTTTTTTTAGAGTATTATTTTTTAATTTATATGATAATTGGTTGCTGATGTTTTTTAAAATATGTTTAGGCTTTTATATATATAGTAATAATGAGTAAATTGTCAAATGTCACATAACATATATCATGTTACAATTTTCATGGGCCATTGTGTTAAAAAATCATATTTTTGTAATTATTACTATGCAACATGTACAAATGTACAATAAAATTTAAACTTTTCATTTGTTATAGAAGATTTTAAAAAAAATTTATCTACAAATCTACATTACAATTTAAAAACCAAAAAAACATTAAACTATTTATTTTATAAATTTTTTTGTAATTTCACTTATGTTTTTGTTAGCATAAATTTCATTTATAGTTTGCCTAGTTTATACATTTATCAAAAAATTTTACAAAAATATTTTGTTTACATATGACAGACAACTTAGTGGAACAAAAATAATATTATGTAACAAATGCATTCAAATCTCCTATTTATTGTCAAAATTAAATAAATTTAACCCTAAACTTACATAAATTTTAAAAAAAAAGAAAAAATAAACTTGCAAAAAAGAATAATTCATTAATCAATCACCTTATAAATTAAATTTAACAACATCAAAAATACATCACTTTGGCTACAATAAACACAATGAATGCCAATATCACAAACTTTATTTTCCTATAATCTACAATGTGAGAATCAATAGTATTACACGCTGCCATCAAATCTTCATTAATCATTTCAACCTTACTACTAAGAACACTCAATTTACTATTCATTTCATCAACTATGTCCTTCAAAGACTCTATTTCAATGTCTCTATTCAATTTATCAACTATCCCCTTCAATTCTTCGATCTCACTCATTTTAGCTGCAACTACTGAAAGCAAATTTTCATTCTCATAAACTTCATCAACTAGGTTGCACCACAAGAAAAAACTTGCAATTCTTGTTATATCCATCATAATTTCCACAACCAAAAAATTTTCTACCAAAGTTCTAAGAAGTGCTTGACATTTGAATCTTACAAGGAACTCCACAAAAATAGTTTCTCATCTTTCTATTTGGTGATAATGTAACCCTGCTACTTTCTGAAGATGCACATTCAGCCATGTTCCTAAAAAAAATGCAATTCAGCAACTGAAAACTATTAATCAGAAAGTAAAACAACAAAAAATAATTCATAAATTAAGTGATGCATTTAACAAAAACATAAATAAGTTAAACATAAACAAATTCAACAAAACTATATCACCAAATTCACCTATGAGATTCACAAATAAAAAAACTAAATCACCAAATTCACATTTCTTGGCGTTCCAAGAAACAGACTACAGTTTCTAAGAGCTCTTCTGAAGCAGAATATAGAGCTTTAGCATCTACAACCTGTGAACTTCAATGGATTACTTATCTTTTGGAAGACCTGCACGTTCCTTTTGTTCGACCTGCACTTTTATATTGTGATAATCAGTCTACTTTGCAAATTGCCTCTAACCAAGTTTTCCATGAACGAACTAAACATATTGAAATCGATTGTCATATTGTTCGCGACAAGGTGCATGCAGGATTTCTCAAGCTTTTACCTGTTACTTCTTCTCTCCAACTTGCGGATATCTACACAAAAGCCATGACTCCTGCTGTTTTCCATGGATTTTGTTCCAAGCTGGGAATGCTAAATATCCATTCCCAACTTGAGGGGGGCTCTTAACAGAAAACCTACTCTTCAATAGAGATATTTGTTAAAATTATTCTATCATTCAATCTGTAAAGGAGAAAGTGTTTTTCTCCTAGGTGTTTGTGGATCTCAACACAAGGAAAGGAAATTCCAAGGTGTTGGAGGATTCAAGTCTTGTAAGGATTACAAGGATAGTGAAATCTCAAGTGGGAGACTTGAGGACTGGGCTGGATATAGGCAGGATTTGCCAAACCAATATAAAATCGAGTTTACAAATCCTTCTCCTTAGTCTTTTATTTATTCCTTTTGATTGTGTTTAATTTATCTAAGGAATTGAATTTATAAGAAAGTAATTTTGGAAAATTTTCATTATTAGGAAAAATTAGAAAACTTAATTCACCCCCCTCTTAAGTTGGATGAGGCTACTTGTCTAACAAAGAGGTATCATTGTTGTTGGTTTTAAAGTCATATGTCATGATAAACACTTTAAGTGCATCGTGTTATGCCCTCAAAATTGATGAAGACCATAAATGCCTTTGTGTAGCTTGCACACATAATCAAGATGTTGTATGTGGAAGAAAATATACACAAATTTTTGATGATGCCAAAGCATTGAAGAAAATAAAGGTCAAGTTAAAGCAAGTTGATCAAGAAGCAAGATCTCAAGTAATAACTAGATAAGTTTTGACTGCTTAGCTTAGTATGTAAAATGAGCTTTTAGAATTTGCAAATTTCACTTGGCCATTAAAATAAGAATTTCAACAAAACCTAAACTTAATCTTTTTGAATATAAGAATAAGTTGTTTGAAAAGAAAGCAAAAAGAGTATTCAAAAGATTAAACGAAAATACTTTTAACTGGAAAATAGAAGCTTTCTATATCTTAAGTTTTCATAAACTAATTCGGTGATATCTTTCTGGTAATCGATTACCACCTGATGTAATCGATTACTAGAGAAAGAAAACTTCTTTGTTCAAGGTTCAAATGTTAAAATGTTCTCTAGTAATCGATTACCAGTCATTGTAATCGATTACCAGAAGATGAAACTTCAAAATTTGAATTTAAATGATACAACGTTTCAAACATTTTGAACTTAAACCGTTGTAATCGATTACCAAGTCTTGTAATCGATTACCAGAGTCTCTTTTCTGAAAAAATTATAGAGTTACAACTCTTCATGAAAAGACATAACCTAAGAAATAATTGTTTATAAATACCTATAATTTTTCAGAGAAAGGTTACGAACTCTAATGTGAAAATCTATTTACAAAAACTACTTGGCCAAAATCATTTGCAAAAATCTCTAAAGAGTTCATCAAGTTCTTAGAAAGTGTAATATCTACTCTTTAAAGAGAGTTATTTTGTAATACCCAATTGATCATTGGATCTTTGAAGGAGAAAGGGTTTTTCTCCTTGTTGGTTTTTGAATCTCAACACAAGGAAAGGGAGTTCCGAGGTGTTGGAGGATTCAAGTCTTGTAAGGTTTACAAGAATAGTGAAAATCTCAAGTGGGAGACTTGAGGACTGGACGTAGGCAGGATTGGCCGAACCAGTATAAAATTGAGTTTGCAATTCTTTTTTTCCTACACTTTTAATTACTTGTTATTAATCGTGATTGAGTATTTTGCATCATCATTCATTCTTTACATATAAATTTATCTAAGGAATTGAATTTGTAAGAAAGTAATTCGAAAAAGTTTTATAAGAAGAAAATTTAGAAAACTTAATTCCCCCCCCCCCCCTCTTAAGTTATACGAGGTTATTTGACTAACATTATAAATCTTTGAGAACTGGTGATTGAGTTTTGAAAACCTCTTCCTAAAGTGCTCTTTTAAGGAAGGCATGGTTGACATCCATTTGATGTATTGTCATGGGATAAAGCTATTGTGAGAATTTCTTTGATGGTTTGATGACGAACAATAGGTGCAAATGTTCCTTTAAAGTCAATATCGGGACATTGTGTAAATCCTTTTGCAAATGGTTTGATATACCAATTTATTGTGGGTTATATGAATTGTAAGTATGTGTGGTAAAATTATGTTTGTAATGATGAAAACAAATTTAAACCCTTATCATACAAAGATCATACAGATACAAAATTGTAGCATATTATTATATAAATGTAAAAAGAATTAGATAATCGAATTTGTACACCTTGCATAAATAATTGGTTTGTCTTGATCTTCATGAGATTCAAACAAATATTATAGAAGACACTTTAATAGACTACCCTCAATTATGATTAGCTTAACAAAATAGGGTATTAATGTCTAATGGGATAATGATTAAATAACTAAATATGAGGGTGGGTACCTTTCATTGGGCATCAATTGAATAGTTTAACCCATCACAATAAAGGCCCAATACAACATCTATCAATTAATTAAGTATTATAATTATAGGTATTGACCATTATTAATTATAAATGTAACATCCTATTTTCTATAAATAAATAATTGATTAGAATAATTAAAAATAAAAAGAGAAACAAATTTTATTAATAAAATATTAAGGAGAGAACTCATCAAAAGTATTTGGATTAGAATCTAGGTCCAATCCGAAGACTAATTCAAATAGGAGAGATTAGCAATGGCTAGGTCAGTTGCACTTATTCTAAAACCCTAAGAGCTCACAAGAGGGGAAACAAAGGAGGTCATGGGGGAAAACACATATTAACGACAAAAGTTATCGAAGGGACATCGTTTCTAAAGACTTGACACTCCAGTTAGGTAGAAGGGAATTATCAAGTCCTATGCATATATGAGAGATAAGGGTAGAGGGATAATCCTTAAGCCTCTTAGATTGTATATCTGTGTTGTTGTGGTATATGTATGAATGCCTTTATAGCTTTGTTGATATTCTAATCATAATTGTCATATAGTGTTCTGTTCTATCTAATTTAGAGATGAATTTGTATGGTTTAAAGTTAGGGTTTTAATGAATGATTTGAGAATTTGAAATTAAATGAGATGATCCTTGAGTAATTAATAGTATGATGATGTTTATGAGATATGAATTAACCATTTGATTAAATTGATGTTGAGGTTATGCATTCTGAGCATTAGGGTTAATATTG